TCATTAAATCCAGGATCAACGCAGGAGATTTTGGAGCACTTCATGCTTCCTTTCGCAGACGAGCTTTATGGGGATGCTGACTTCATTTTTCAGCAGGACTTGGCACCTGCCCACACTGCCAAAAGCAGCAAAACCTGGTTCAATGACCATGGGATTACTGTGCTTGATTGGCCAGCAAACTCACCTGACCTGAACCCCATAGAGAATCTATGGGGCATTGCCAAGAGAAAGATGAGAAACATGAGACCGAACAATGCAGAAGAGCTGAAGGCCGCTATTGAAGCATTCTGGTCTTCCATGACACCTCAGCAGTGCCACAGGCTGATAGCTTCCATGCCACGCCGCATTGAGGCAGTAATTGCTGCAAAAGGGGCCCAAACCAAGTACTGAGTACATATGCATGCGTATACTTTTCAGTGGTCCAATATTGTTCTATGTACAATCCTTGTTTTATTGATTGTATGTAATATTCTAATTTTCTGAGATTGTGGATTTGGGGTTTTCATGAGCTGTAAGCCATAATCATCACAATTATGACAAATCACAGCTTAAACTATCTTGCTTTGCATGTAATGAGTTTATCTCCTATTAGTTTCACCTTTTAAGTTGCATTACTGAAATAAACTTTTGCACGATATTCTAATTTTTCGAGTTTACCCTGTATGTGGGAACGCATTTGGGGTTAGCGGTAGTCTATGGTGGAGAATACAATCATGCAATATCATTGAATTGAAGTGTATCTGGATTATAATATGTTGGAGATACGGTTATGCACTGTGCATTTTTCAGACTCATCTTTTTTTTCTCCCAGAAGTAGCAGTATACAGTATTTGTTGAATCATCCTATCAAATGATTCAAGTATTGGAAACAAAAATGAAAGCGATTCTGTATAATACCGTATATCAGCATTTCTTAACCTTTTCAACACAGAGGAACACTTGAAATAAACTTTCCATTCTTAGGGAACCACTGCTAAAAATTACTATCTCTACAACAAATGATACATTAGTGTGATAGTCAGTGAGAAGCATGCTCCTTACACTTGTGAACATGAGAAGAATTACCCCCATTCAGATATCTTAAACTTAAAAAAAAAAAAAAAAAAAAATCAACGCTGGCATTGGGAACTTATCGAAGAGTCAGAAATTACTCATTGCTCAAGGAACCCCTAGCAACCTCTGGAGGAACCCTAGCTGAGAAACTCTGCCGCACAAATCACAAGTAGCTTTTCAGTGGGGTGTAGGAGGGCAAGTATTAATGGAGAAGAAAATTATTCCATACTTGATACTGTAACAAGCACACAGTTTTTAGGATTGAATAAAAAAGCATATTTGTAGAAATGTGTAATAAAAGCATAAATTTATACTTTAACCACTTCAAACCCAATTCTAACATTTCTCACAATACTAAGATCTGCGCGGCAACCCGCGGCTCTTTTTTCAACCTTTCCTGCGGCTCCGGAGCACACTTTTATCCTATAAAATTACCTAAAGACCAGAACGGCGCGGGAACCCAGCGAGAGGAACGCGCGGAGCAAAGGTTGAACCATTATATATTTTCTAATAAACTGAAGAGCCTGGAAAAAAAAAATAAAATTTCAATCGGTTTTGTTCCAAAAATTGTCATACAATATTTGCACAGTGGTTTATCAAAACATGACAAATTTTTGCAATATATGCACTTTAACCACTTCTTTTTTTCCCTCTCGGAAACGGGTCATGGTATAGCCAAAAAAAGACAGCTGCAGCATTGTTGTCTAGTTCTGTAAGGGCATCCATGCATGTTCTCCCCCTGCGACACATATCAGGGGTGATCCTTTGGACACAGCTGACCACAGACTGAGGTAAAGGTCCAATCGCAGCAGCCCTATACCATGTGATCAGCTGTATGCAATCAAACTGTGGAGTGAACTGAATCCAACCTTGATAAGCAGAAATGTCAGCACCTGGGGATGGGGTGCTTACATGGAACAATTAACAATACAGGGATCATAGGAGTGCTGTTAGGCACACAGATCTTAATATTTTAGGAACTGAAATCCATTACAGAAGAATTCCATCACTTACACAGGTAAGTGTGTTTATTAAAAGTCAGCAGCTACAGTTTGTGTAGCTGCTGACTTAATAAAAACACAAAACCGGCTGGAACTCTGCTTTAAATTGACACTAAAAGAACGATTCTGGTACAAAGCATTGCAAAGCGATTTCCAAATTAAGTGGTTTTTCTTTTCAATTTTGCACTTTTCTTAAATGCTAAATGTGTAAATATATGTTCATTCTGCAAAAATATTAACAAAACAAAACACAAAAACCATTTAAATATTTTTAGTTAATAAACTAAAAATCAACAAAAAAAAAACCACCAGGAAAATAAAAGTTGAGGAGACCAAGGAGTAAATAAGAGCTGATTAGAGAAACTAAGGGTTAATAAGGGGTTAAACAGAGGAACAATTTACCAAACAAAAAATAAATCAATTGTCAATTGCTTTAACAACATCTGCACATCCACGTTCATTACTTAGATCTGCAGATGAATGAACAGAAAGATACAAATGTAACAATAGGTTACTTTGTATCTATGTATAACCACAGTCTGGATCAGTGTTGTTTAAAAACACTGAATCAGACTGCTTTTTTTTTTTTTACAGTTACTGGGTCCTGTGTACAATAATTAAGTTCTTTGAGTGTATGTGTTTAGCATGCCCAAAGTCTAGTAAAAATACATTACACAATAATTAAGCTACAAAAGTCAGTGCTGTAAATTGCCTCCAACATTACTACAGTTTCTTCTTGCTGGAGGCTGCCATTTTGCTGAAGTCCACAGCAGTCGTTCCTTATTGGAAACTCCCCATCTCCTTGCTCTAAACAACTATATGCCACTATCTGTATAGTGGCATATATATACATTCCAACCTTAACAGAAGCTTTAGGCTCCATGTACACAAGCCTACCCTGACCGCAGGAAACTGCAAATCGCGGCAAAACGCAGTACCGCAATTTTTGCATTTTCCTGTGGTCAGCAGTCAAAACGTTCCTATTCTGAGGGAGATTCTTCTGCGTACAGGAGAGGGAGGTTTAACCTCACCTAAACACAGCAGCACCTAAACTCTGCTAAAAGCCTATGTGTACATGGAAACACAGGATTTTATGAAGTTGAGTTTAGGAGCTTCTCATGTACATGTAGCCTTACAGTTCTGAAATTGACAAGACTGCTGTCAGGGAGACACAAAAGAGTTAAAACAACAAGGATAGTGTCTTGTCTTATCTCCCTGATGTTCTCTCCTTTCTTCCTGAAGAGTTTGTCCTGTCACCTCTCCAGCTTTTCTCTTCTACCTCCCTAATGTGTTCCCTCTGCATAGTCTGTCATTCCTGTTGCTTTCTTCCCCCTTCAGCAAGGGAAAATGTCAAAGATGTCAGCTGATTAGCCTCTAGTGGCTGGATTTTAGTCACAGTGCCAGGAAATGTAGAGCAACTGAGCAGGTGCAGAGCAGGGTGAGACAGTGTATTACTGTATTTTTATTTTACTTATGTTAAGGTTTTGCATAGCTATACTTGCAAAAGGGGCCAGCCTAAAGTGATCTATCATGGCAATTTTTTGACTAAAATTCCACTGTAAAGTGGAACTACACTTACCGTGGCTCCAGCGATGAGGTGTCCCATCTCCATGCCCAGCCGTTGACATCTTCTGGCGGTCAGCTTCCAGGTCTCAATTGTTGGCCAGGGATGACATCACATCCACGCATGCGTGGGAGTTCAGTCAGATTTGGCATTGCTGAATTTGTACAGTGAGCTGCACGTGTGCTGCGCACTGTACAAAGGAGGACAGGTAGGCAAGTATCTTTAATGCAGAAGAGACAAAGCATGTCTCTTCTGCATTAAAATTCCTGCCTGTTGCCCCTTTTAATTTTTTTTTCTAAAGTTTCAAAATACCAATACACACCATCTTCAGTCTGTTGCACTAAACACAGGTTTCATTGCTTGAACAGATCTGTACAGCAGCAACCTTAAACAAGCTTTCATCTCTCCAGAGAACTTTACCAGATCAACCTTCCGTCAAACTAGGACCAAACCATCAGCAGAAAAAGTTCTACAGGCTGTCATCCCTCCTTAGTAGGTTATCTTCTCACTCATCTTTCCACATGATGTCCTAGCAGATGATTAGGGAAACCAGTTGTATGGTAACTCAATTCCCAAAAATCTTGCAAGACATCAGGGAATTCCCTGCCTATTCTTCTGTTTGTGGAAACTTATTTTCATGTATGTTAGTTCGGTTCTGGTCTATACCTGAGCTGCACCTTTATAAATGTAGATTATGCTATTCCTGTTTTATGTGAACAGAGCCCCTCATATATGTTAGAGCCCCTCAATGATGACAACATATTTTTAAGCGCAGTACCTAAGAGCAACCAATCAGAATTCACACTGATTAAGTCAAACCACTACAAGATGAAGTGTGGCTGGTTACTGCTCAAGAATAGAGTTATTATTGAATTAGTCTCCATATTTCACATGGTTCTGCCAAAGTGTTTATTAAATACACATACAAAGCTAATTATTTTTTGTCAACTAATAACCTGTACACACAATATACAGGGAAAGCAATGTTTTGTTACGCTTTGTTTTGACAAGAAGGCAAAAAAGATAGCAACTGAGGACACAATTGTCGTTCACTTAATATGTATTAAAATAAGAGATTGGCAGGTGAAAAAGCAATCACCCAAGGGTACTATTTACTTTCATATAACCAGATTTTCTACAGCCAATTGGATGGTAGACAACAGCGTGTCCAGAAATTGACAGCCAACATCTAAAAGGCCACAGCATGGTTGGAATGAGTACAGCTGTTCAACTGCATCTCAGGAATTTGTAAAAAGCCAGTGAAAGCCACTCTCCATCAATGAACACTTCACATTGTGCAAAGTTGATTAAAGTTATATCCAAATCCACAAGGTAAGTGGTCATATTCCCAAGGTCACCAAACACTTCTCTTTAGATTGATGTTAATGTTGTCCAGTAGGAGAATACAAGGTTTGATGGATAAGTTCACGAACAGCAGAAGTATCACTTGCATCTGAAACATAAAATCACAATATTAAAAACGGTATTTGAATCCAATACTGTTTGGGTCATGGCAACCCTAATTTTTTATTTATTTAGAGCACGTGTTAATTTAATGTATGCTTTGTAGCATACTGCATTGTCTTAAAAGCACTAAAGAAAAACTTATTCGATAAAGTTAAACAAGAGTGGGAAGGGGGCATAATGAACATCATATGCCATCTTCTTAAAGGATAAGATCACCTTTTTTTCTAAAATCCAGCTCCCTTAGGTAGCAATATATCATTAATGTACCTCAGTTGCAAAAAAATACAAGCTCTTTTTGATTTGGAGAGCAAGGCCTTACCCCTTAGCCCTGGCTATATTTCATAGAATGCTTTTTCACTTCCTGGTATGCAAAGTTAGGACGGAGTAGCAAGTATGACCAGGAAGCAGATTACCAGCTGATATCATTAGCACATACACTATTTCCAAAAGTATTGGGACACCCCTCCAAATCATTGGATTCAGGTGGCCCATCCATGGCCAAAGGTGTATAAAATCAAGCACCTAGGCATACAGACTGCTTCTACAAACATTTGTGAAAGAATGGGTTGCTCTCAGGAGCTCAGTGAATTCAAGTGTGGTACCATAATAGGTTGCCACCTGTGCAATATGTCCATCTGTGAAATTTCCTTGTAAAATATTCCACGGTCAACTGTTAGTGGTATTGTAACAAAGTGGAAGCAACTGGGAACAACAGCAACTCAGCCACCAAGTGGTAGGCCACGTAAAATGACGGAGCGGGGTCAGAGTATGCTGAAGCGCACAGAAGTCACCAACTGTCTGCAGAGTCAATAACTAAAGACCTCCAACCTTCATGTGGCCTTCAGGTTAACACAACAGTGCCTAGAGAGCTTCATGGAATGGGTTTCCATGGCCGAGCAGCTGCATCCAAGCCTTACATCACCAAGTGCAATGCAAAGCGTCAGATGCAGTGATGTAAAGCACACCGCCACTGGACTCTAAAGAAGTGGAGACATTCTCTGGAGTGACAAATCATGCTTCTCAGTCTGGCAATCGGATGGACATCTGGGTTTTAGCAGTTGCCAGGAGAACGGTACTTGCCTGACTGCATTGTGCCAAGTGTAAAATTTGCTGGAGGGGGATTACGGTGTGGGGTTGGCTTTAGCTCCAGTGAAGGGAACTCAGCATACCAAGACATTTTGGAAAAATTAATGCTCCCAACTTTGTGGGAACAGTTTGGGGATGGCCTCTTCCTGTTCCAACATGACTGCGCACCAGTGCACAAAGCAAGGTCTATAAAGACATGGATGAGCGACTTTGGGGTGAAGGAACTGAACTTGACTGGCCTGCACAGAGTCCTGACCTCAACCCAATAGAACACCTTTGGGATGAATTAGAGCGGAGACTGCGAGCCAGGCCTTCTCATCCGACATCAGTGCCTGACCTCACAAATGCGCTTCTGGAAGAATGATCAAACTTTCCCATAGACACACTCCTAAACCTTGGTGGACAATCTTCCCAGAAGAGTTGAAGCTGTTATAGCTGCAAAGGTTGGGCCAACTCAATATTGAACCGTACGGACCAAGACTGGGATACCATTAAAGTGCATGTGTGTGTAAAGGCAGGAGTACCAAAACTTTTGGCAATGTAGTGTACATCCTGCACTGACCTCATTAGCACACACCCTTTACCCATCAACTATTTTTTCACAGCATCCCCGAGATCTCTCCACAAGTGCATTTTCATGGCTACTCCAGCATCTCTACAGACAGGCTCAGGCCGTATGCTAAACTCCCTGGGCTGCATTTAGCCCATGGGACACCCCTGATTAAGTGCAAGGGCCTGCTTGATTGGATAGAAAGTGATTGGATAGATGTTTTGTCCTCCAATTATATAGTTTTGGTAAATCTAAAAGGAGATCGTACAGAGATTGTATAGTGTATGGCCAGATTTACACACCTAAAATTACCCAGTTGCAGTTTCAGTGTCATTAATTGTTAACTGCACACCAAACACAGAAACAAAAAACACACATTATGCCACATGAAATACGGGGGACAAATGCAGCAAAATGTGCAGTAAAATACATGCAACTCGCACCATGCCAAAATGTGCCATGAACTACTTTGCCACGTGTAGCGCAGCCCATTGAAATCAATGAGCTGTCCTAAGCATTTAACTGGAAAAACGAGCCAAAAAAAATGCGCTCCCACTACTCTTGGTGTGAATGGGTCCTGAAAGTGAAAGTGGTTTGTTTACACAAGAACAATGAGGCTCCATTCACATCTGTGTGTTCCCGAATGCATGGCAATCGGCACAGAAAATGCACTCTTTGCCATGCGTTTTAGAAACATGCTGTAAATGTGCATTGTGTTTGTGTTGTCATTACATGGTAAAGGCACCCCAAGTGAGGCAAAACACACCAAAAACTGCATTAACACATCGTATTCCGCTCCAACAAAAAAACAAAAAAAACCTTCTAGAGCTTTTCTGGGGTGACTGTTGCGCGTAGGGCAGCCGTTCAAGTGAATGGGCTGCCCTATATGACACAAGTGAAAACGCTCCAGAACACCCAAAATGCATGCAGGAATGTAAGCCTTCACTACATGGAGATGTGAAAGGGGCCTGACAACTGAGCGCCTCCATCCCACTCCCTCCTATGTACTTGTATAAAGATGGCCATACACTATGCAATCTGATTGTACAATTTCCTTTAGATTTACCAGAACTATGGAATAGGAGGACACACCTGAAAAATCTATTCCATTTGTTTCAAATCAGGCAGGCCCTTGTACTACATACCAAACAGATGTAAACCTCTGTGCTAACCCATATGTGTATCAAAAACCCACATATGTTGCAGTTCCTCACTGTTGTGTGTTCAACCACCAATAGAAATCAAATGTAGAAAAAAAGAAGTATAACTAAATGGGTATAACTCACTATAAATGTGCAAACAGCACAAAAAAAAAAAAAAAAAAAAGACAAAATACACGTACATGCATAAAAACACAATTAGTGATATAACTGATGAGAAAACAAATAGAAAAAAAATGCAGCGCAACTAAATGTGTATAACTCACTATAAAATAAAAAAATTACAAATGCATGTAAAACACATAAAACACAGTTAGTGATAAAACTGATTATATAATTTGATAAAGTGAAATAAATCCCAACTTCCCTGTACATACAGTACAGAGCTTGATAATTCGTAATACCCCTTTAAACTTCATAAATACTATAAAAAATGCATGTAAAAAAAAAAAAACGCATACACATAAAACTAATATAAACAAATACAAAATTCACAAAAATCCCAAAATATGCAGTGAGATTTCTTTCTTCAAAGTATTTGTTCCATGACATGCATACTTTATGCATGCCCAATATACTTGCTGATGTGCTCTACCACCAGTGAACCACCACCTTCCAATGCTGTCGCTTACCTCAAGATTTGATCCACACAAAGGTAAGGTCAAACACGCTTTCCCAACACTCTGGGTTTAATAACTTAGGGAAAACGTGTTTGACCTTACCTTTGTGTAGGTCAAACCTTGAGGTAAGTGGCAGCATTGGAAGATAGTTCGCTGTGGTGGAGCACATCAGCAAGTATTTATTGAGCACTTATGGCATATACATGTCATGAAACACAATACTTTGAAGAAACAATTCTCTCACTGGATATTTTGGGACTTAGAATTTTTAGTTTATTTGTTTGTTTATATTAGTCAATTATCAATGTATTTTTTTTATATTCATTTTATGTGTATGCGCTTACATCCTTTTTTTTTTCCATTGTATTTATGAAGTTTAAAAGGGGAATTATGACTTATTAAGCACTGTATGCCCAAGGGAAGTTGGGCTTTATTGCACTTTATCTAGTTATATCATCAGCTGTATCACTAGTTGTGTTTTATGTGTAGATCATGTTTTATTTCTATAATTTTTCTTGCACATTTATAGTGAGTTATGCACATTTAGTTGCATATACAAAAACCAATATTTTGGTGCCTACTTAACTATACAATACATGTGATAAATCTACTGTGAATCAATTTTGACAAATCCTATTCCAATGAAAGTGATAACACCAAAGTAGCAGAATAAGAACAGCTGCCCCTAGTAGGTGTAAACCACTAACGTAAGAACACAATGAATGAGGGCACTTGCTCAAAACAATAAAAAGAATTTGTGTAAATTAACAAAACAAATCCAAATGGAACAACAAACCAAAAAAACCTTAGTTACAGTCCAAAAATGTGCATATCCCAGAGGTTAAACTGAGCATCCATTAGAAGAATGCCAGTGAATGGCAATCTCACAGGGATTCCTCTTCAACACTAGTGCTTATATGTGAATTTCACACGCACCAGAAAATTTTGACCCCCTGTTAAGGATGGCCAAACTGTGCTGTATCCCCCAGACATGATAGTCTCCAGGATTTCATTCATTCCAATATGTGCTTCAAATGAGCAGGAAATTTGAGACCCCCTGTTAAGGAATGGTCAAACAGCGCTGTACCCCCCCCAGACATGATAGTCTCCAGGATTTCATTCATTCCAATATGTGTTTCAAATGAGCAGATTTGAGACCCCTTGTTAAAGATAGTTTAGCATTGCTATTTTCTTCAAACATAGTGGTTCTCCAGACTCTCCTCCATTCCAATACATTTCTCATATAAGCTCAGTAAAAAGCAAAGACTTTTAAAAAAGCATCTAAATGCAATATAGTTAATTAAAATGGCAATAAAACAAAGTGTGAAAAAACACTCACATGATAAAAGGCGCCTAGAAAATACCGGCACCAGTTTATACAGCCTTTGAGTGTAGATGCACCGCATCTGGTATGGCGGCCAGCATGGGTCTCAAGCCTCAATCTGGTGGGCTGGATGTGACGTCATAGGGACCCAGAAGTGATAGTCCATGCTTCAATGTACGATATGCCCAGATGGCATCTTCAGGAAGTGACAAGCCGCCGTTTCTGGGACTTATTTACTCAAGCAAATCTCTTATGATTTGATAGCGCTGCCAAAATGCCGGTCGCCCAAAAGGCAATCATGGGTATCAAATGTTTAATGGCTGTACAAGCTGATGTGGTACAATCACCGAATACCTAAACAAATACAATGCTTCTCAAAAGAACGTGTTTAGAATAAGTTTTGGACACAAACTTACAAACATATACCAGGAACTTTACATACAGTTGCAAGAAAAAGTATGTGAACCCCTTGGGATTACGTGGAGTTTTGCATGAGTTGGGCATAAAATGTGCTCTGAACGTCATCTAAGTCACAACAATAGAAGAACACAGTCTGCTGAACATAATACTACACAAACATTAGATGTTGCCATGGTTTTATTGCACATAACATGTAAACATTCACAGTGCAGGGAGGAAAAAGTATGTGAACCTTTGGACTTAATAACTGGTTGACCCTCCTTTGGCAGCAATAACCTCAACCGAACATTTCCTGTAGTTGCAGATCTTTCCTGCACAACGACCTGGAGTAATTTTGGACCACTCCTCTTCACAAAACTGTTTCAGTGTAGCAATATTCTTGGGATATCTGGTGTGATTTGCTCTCTTAAGGTCATGCCACAGCATTTCAATCGGGTTGAGGTCAGGACTCTGACTGGGCCACTCCTGAAGGGGTATTCTGTGCTGTTGCAGCCATTGTTTTGTTGAATTACTTGTATGCTTTGGGTCATTGTCCTGTTGCATCACCCATCCTCTGCGGAGCTTCAGTTGGCGGACAGATGGTCGTACGTTTTCCTGCAAAATGTCTTGATAAACTCTGGAATTCATTTTCCCATCAATGACAACAATCCGTCCAGGCCCTGAGGCAGCAAAGCAGCCCCAAACCATGATGCTCCCTCCGATAAGTTTTACAGTGGGGATGAGGTTTTGATGTTGGTGTGCTGTGCTTTTTTTCTCCACACATAGTGTTGTGTGTTCTCCCCAAACAACTCAATCTTGGTTTCATCTGTCCACAGTATATTTTGCCAGTAGTGCTGTAGAACATCCAGGTGCTCTTTTGCAAACTTCAAACGTGCTGCAATATTCTTTTTGGACAGCATTGGCTTCCTCCGTGGTGTCCTCCCATGTACTCCATTCTTGTTTAATGTTTTCCTTATTGTAGATGTGTCAACAAAAATGTTAGCATGTGCCAGAGATTTCTGTAGGTCTTTAGCTGACACTCTGGGATTCTTCTTTACCTCATGCAGCATTCTGCGCTGTGCTCTTGCAGTCATTTTTACAGGATGACCACGCCTAGGGAGAGTAGCCACAGTGCTAAACTTTCTCCATTTGTAGACAGTCTGTCTTACCGTGGACACATGAACATCAAGGCTTTTGGAGATACTTTTGTAACCCTTTCCAGCTTCATGCAAGTCAACAATTCTTGATCGTAGGTCTCTTGAGAGTTCTTTTCTGCGAGGCATGGTTCACATCAGACAGTGCTTCTTGAAACCAGTAAACCCAAAACAGGTGTGTGTTTTTTTAAGGGCAGGACAGCTGTCAGCAACACATCCAATATCATCACACTGATTGGAGTCAAGGTTGGCTCACTCCTGGCTCCAATTAGCTCTGGGAGAAGTCATTAAGCTAGGGCCTCACATACTTTTTCCTCCCTGCACTGTGAATGTTTACATGTTATGTGCAATTAAACCATGGCAACATCTAATGTTTGTGTAGTATTATGTTCAGCAGACTGTGTTCTTCTATTGTTGTGACTTAGATGACGTTCAGAGCACATTTTCTGCCCAATTCATGCAAAACTCCACGTAATCCCAAGGGGTTCACATACTTTTTCTTGCAACTGTATATAGAGAAAGTACCATTTCCATGGGATTCAATTACAATGGCTGCTTGGCATATGTTGTAGCTCCCTCTATTGATGATTCTCATAGTAGTCCATAGCTGGGAGCCCGTGGGATAATCACATTGGAAAATCTCCCCGCCTAGGCTCCCTGTTATGAAGTGCCAAAGTGGAAAGTGAAAATCCCTTCCAATCGTTTAACTGTACCTAAACTGCTCCTATATAGTGCAAAAAATAATGAATAACATCACAATAGGAGCTGACTAAAAGACCTAATACAAGGATTATAAAGACTAATGATTAATACAAAATGCCCAAGGGGGGAGGGCGTGATGATCCTAGGGGCTCACAGCTATGTACTATTATGAGGATCATCAATAGAGGGAGCTACAACATATACTAAACAACAGCTTGTACAGCCATTAAACATTTGATAGCCATGACTGCCTTTTGGGTGGCTGCCATTTTGGCAGAGCTATCCAACCATAAGAGATTTGGTTGTATAAATAAGTCCCTAAATGACAGCCTACCACTGCCTGAAGACACTGTCTGGGCAAATACTTACGTTGAATCGTGGACCGTCACTTCTGGGTCCCCACTTCTGGCCCACCAGATCGAGGCTTGAGATGCACGCTGGCCGCCATAGCAGATGCGTTGCATCTACACTCAAAAGGCTGTATAAACTGGTATTTTCTAGGCACCTAATCATGTGAGTGTTTTTTTCAAACTTGTTTTATTGCCATTTTAACTACTGTACTTTGATGCTTTTTAAAAAACGTTTGCCGTTTTCACTGAGCTTATATGAGGAATGTACTGGAATGGAGGAGAGTCTGGAGAACCACCATGTCTGGGGAAAATAGCACTGCTTTACCATCTTTAACAGCGGGTCTCAGTTTCCTGCTCATTTAAAGCACATATTGGAATGAATGAAAGCCTGGAGACTATCATGTCTGGGAGATATACAGCACAGTTTGACCATCCTTAAAAGGGGGGGGGGGTCAAAATTTTCTGGTGAGTGTGCAATTCACATATAAGCACTAGTGGTGAAGAGGAATCCCTGGGAGATTGCCATTCATTGGCTTTATTCTAACATATGTAGTTGCACCGCATTTTTTCTATTTGCTTTATCATCAGTTATATCACTGTGTTTTATGTGTTTGCCGTTATTTTTATCATTCTCTTTGCACATTTTAGTACGTTATACAAAATTTAGTTGCACTGCTTCTATCCTTGTACTACATTACTGATGGAAGATCTAAAGGAGATTTTACAATCCGATTGTATAGGCAGGTAATATTATAATTAGGGAGGTGTGGTCCAGAGTGGTGAACACACCCTATCACACTCCCTTCTGTGATGCAACAAGTGAAGGCTTCTGAGAAGTGGCCTACAGGAAGTGAATGGTGAGAGACCATCTACAAGAAATGAAGCAATCTGAAAATTTGTTCAAATAGTCAAATAAACTGACAAAAAAGTAAACCTCTTGTGGATAAGGTGAAACAGAAGCACATTGAGATGGCTAGGCAATAAGTGGCACTGGAAAACGCTTCTATTTATTATGAAAAGTGAAATTCTGGCTGAAAAAGGTGACCTTATCCTTTAAGGTCTGTTCTGCTGTGGCATTATGTGATATGCTTCTCTAATAGATCATCTAACAGGTGAAACCCAATCAGATATAAACAAAATCAATGCAGCTCTGTATCTATTAATAATTCATTACATGTTATTACATGTAATTTATTTTAGATGGGCCCAGACTCAAAAGTGAAGATATGCCAAGTTATACAAAACATTCAGAAATGAATTGTGCCTTAGCAGTGCCCAAAAAAATCTCCCCTTTTCTTGAACTACTCCTGTAAGTCGACTAGGCACTTCTAAGCCTACATAGAATCACAGTGCAGATATATGGCTAAGAACCAGCTGCCTCTGACCACTAGCCATAGGAGATTTTGAGTGAGATATGATGTCGTCACTACTGGGCTGCTCAATCTTTTTTTGAGGAAGCAAAAACGCTGCCTCCACCAATATGGCCACCTCCACGGAGACACTGCAGGAAAAAGGTATAGAAATTTAGTAATGGGGAAAGATCAGTTGCGGAGAACCTACAGGCAATTCTGGTGACTAGTCCTCTGCACTAGCCAACTATCTTTGAACATAGGTTTTACAGTTTAGTTCCTCAAATATACGCAGTTCAAATACCTGAATATAACTTCAAGTCTTTTGTAGTCTCAGTACAGCAGAGCAAACACTGGGAGAAGGAGAAGCAACACTATGGGGCTGATTCACTAAACGCAAATAAACAGTGCACTGCAAGTGCAGTTGCTCTAGAACCTAGTAAATGAGGTAAAGCTCCACTTGGCAAAGAATACCTAATCACACGTAAGGAAAATAAACATTTTTGGTTGCACATGACTGGATGATAGAAATTAGCAGAGCTTCCCTTCATTTCAAAGCTTCCCCTCAGATCTAGAGCAAGTAGGTGCACAGATTATTTGCCTTTAGTAAATCAACCCCAATGAGTGCTGTCCAGGCACAGGCTGTCAGTGCGGTGGGGGGTGTTGAAGACATGCAAGTGTAGTAGAGAAAAGGAAAAAGAGAAAAAAAAAAAAAAAAAACACAGGCCTGCTGCACTGCCAGACATGGCTGTGTGGTATGGCAGAGCTATGCAAGACTTAGGACTGGATGGACAGAAAAAAATATCAACTCCATTATGGGTATTTAATGTGTGTGGTTATTTGTTTGCCTGGAGTTCAACTTTATTAGTACCCTGTTCCACAACAGGGACACATTTGCTAGTACACATAAAAACGGTGTACATTCACAGCAAAAGATACATTGAGTGTAACTAGTCCATTAATACGTTTTTTAACATTTTCATTTATAATATTAATACAGGAAACACTTACCCACATGCAATTCTTTAAGAACTGAAGCAAATTCTTCATTTCCCTCCAAAACACGAAGGATATTGGAAGATTCTATTCTTTCCAGAATCACTGACCAGTATACATAGATTTTTTGGTTAAAACCCACGTAAACCAGGCATGGACTATTCTGACCTCCCCTGCAGGCATACAGCCCTGGTAAAAACAGCATGGAATCATAAATGTACATAAAAATATGTAATGAAATATCATCTGCAAAGACTTGCTATCACACTATATACAGACTGTCACTTACCAGCACAGAAGGCACTAACATTCTCATCAACCTGGAAGCGCAGTACTGTGCGATTGTGATCAATAATGTACGTTTGTCCATCCCATGCACAGGCAACAACTTCCTCTTGGCCATTTCCCTGCAAGATAAAAGAAAAAAAAAAAAAAAAAAAAAAACCAAATCAGACTGATCACACAAACACACTAGTCTGATTAACAATGGACACAGGTCCTATACTTTTAAAATCAGAGGAAGGAGTAAAACACTGTTGGACAACCTTCCCACCACATCAATAGCTCCCACCACTGCTGCTACTGATTTAAATCTTTAAGCCCTGGTTCACACCGAATGTAATTTAAAAGTGATGTGATTTGGTCCCATTTAAAGCACAACTTCAAAGTAGTGCTGATAAAGACACAGGTGCGATTTTAGTGCCATTTACCTTATAGTCTGAGTTAAATTGCACTGAAGTGGTGAAAAAGTAATGCAGGAACAATTTTTCAAATTGCGCTAATTGAAATCCCACCTATTAAGACAGTGCCATAGAAATACATTAGATGCGACTTCAGGTGCATGAAGTCATAACGGTGCGAACCAAATATAAAAGAATAAGTACAAAGTAGCTAACAGAATAAAGAGCACATAGGAAAATTTGTGGAAGCATCTTACCGTCACATCTAGTTTCTCCAAAGCAAACAACTGATGATCAACCTGAACTGACCACAAAAGCCTATCGGAACCCTGCATGAGTTTCAAAGTGCCTAAAAGAGATGTAAAAATATGTAAAGTGGTAAGCACACAATCTATGTGCCATAAACAATAAGCAATTTAGCTTTAGATTTACAGTATCGGGTTGATCTACTAAAACTGGAGAGTGCAAAATCTGGTGAAACTCTGCATAGAACCAGATTCCAGTTTTTTTTTCAAAGCTTGATTGAACAAGCTGAAGTTAGAAGCTGATTGGCTACCATACATCCAGGTTAGTATTTGTCTTGCACTGCTGAACATAAGTATTTGAACACCTGAGAAAATCAGTGTTAATATTTGATACAGAAGCCTTTGTTTGCAATTAATGAGGTCAAACGTTTCCTGTAGTTCTTGACCAGGTTTGCACACACTGCAACAGGGATTTTGGCCCACTCCTCCACACAGATCTCCTCTAGATCTGTCAGGTTCCGGGGCTGTCGCTGAGCAACAGCTACCTCCAAAGATGTTCTATTGGATTTAGGTCTGGAGACTGGTAAGCCACTCCAGAACCTTGATATGCTTCTTACGGAGCTACTCCTTGGTTATCCTGGCTGTGTGCTTCGGGTCGTTGTCATGTTGGAAGACCCAGCCATGACCCATCTTCAATGCTCTGACTGAGGGAAGAAGGTTGTTGCTCAAAATCTCACAATAAATGGCCCCATTCATCCTCTCCTTAATACAGTGCAGTCGTCCTGTCCCCTTCGCAGAAAAGCACCCCCAAAGCATGATGTTACCACCCCGATGCTTCACAGTAGGGATGGTGTTCTTGGGATGCAACTCATCCTTTTTCCTCCAAACACGACAAGTGAAGTTTAGACCAAAAAGTTCTACTTTGGTCTCATCTGACTACATGACTTTCTCCCATGCCTCCTCTGGATCATCCAGATGGTCATTGACAAACTTCAGATGGGCCTGGACATGTGATGACTTGAGCAGGGGAACTTTCCGTGCAATGCATGATTTGAAACAGTGACGGTGTAGTGTTCTACCGACAGTGACCTTTGAAACTGTGGTCCCAGCTCTCTTCATGTCATTGACCAGCTCCTCCCTTGTAGTTCTGGGCTGATTCCTCACCTTTATCAGTGATACCCCATGAGGTGAGATCTTGCATGGAGTCCCAGTCCGAGGGAGACTGACATTCGTCTTTAGCCTCTTCCATTTTCTAACAATTGCTCCAACAGTTGATCTATTTTCACCAAGCTGCTTGGCACTTGCCCTGTAGCCCTTTCCAGCCTTCTGGAGGTCCACAATTTTGTCTCTGGTGTCTTTTGACAGCTCTTTAGTCTTGCCCATGGTAGCAGTTGGTGTCTGACTGACTGTGAGGTGGACAGGTGTGTTTAAAGAGCTCAGACAGGTGCTACTAAGTTAGATTAATGAGTGAAGTAGAGGTGGACTTTTTAAAAGGCACAGTAACAGGTCTTTGAGAGCCAGAATTCTTGCCGTTTCTTAGGTGTTCAAATGCTTATGTTCAGCAGTGCAAGACAAATAAATTCTTTAAAAATCATACAATGTAATTTCCTGAACTTTTATTTTAATTCTGTCTCTCAGAGTGGGAATGCACCTACAATGTGAATTTCAGACCCCTCCATGATTTCTAAGTAGGAGAACTTGCAAAATCGCAGGGTGTTCAAATACTTCTGTTCCTCACTGTACATACACACACACACACACATACATACACACGCGCAATTTTGCATGTCAGGATAGGGGGTGTGCGCACCCTACCCATGCCGCCATTTGCGGGCACGTCAGCCAATCACCGGTGCCCAGTAATTACCAAGGATCTCTGATGGGGAGGAGAACTGCTTTGTTTACTAACAGTTCTCCTCCCTGTCAGCGCGGGCACACCGCTTTGGATGGCTGTGCACAGTGCAGCCATCCAAAGCAGTGTGCTTACAGTGAAGCACACAGACACCGCCCCATAGTAAAAACACACCCAGCACACAGTTAACCCTTTTAGCGCACCTCATGTTAACCCCTTCCTGCCCAGTGCCATTAGTTCAGTGACCATGCTTTTTTTTTTTTTTTTAGCACTGATTACTGTATTGGTGTCATTGGGTATGTCAGTGAAAACAAGTCAGTTCCTCCCAGTGTCAGAATGTCCGCCGCAGTCCCGCTAAAAGTTGCTGATTGCCGCCATTACTGAAGCAGAATAAATTTTGGCCTGAATTGATGGCGAAATTAGATTTTTAAAATTTTTCTATTGGACATATTTAATAGCAAAATAGTCAAAAATATAGTTTTTTTTACTCAAAATTGTCTTTTTTTTTATAGCGCAAAAAATAAAAAATTCACAGGTGATCAAATACCACCGAAAGAAAGCTCACTTTGTGGGGAAAATAAAGGGATGTAAATTTCATTTGGGTGCAGTGTTGCATGAACGCGCAATTGTCATTAAAGCAACACAGCGTCCTAATGGCCTGGTCAGGAAGGGGGGAGGTAAATCCTTAGGAGGGCAAGTGGTTAACAACTCTTGTTTGCAAACAATGTCCCGCATTTGTGGGAGTATTTTGTAGTATAGCGTCCCATTGAAAATATTCATTCTCAAAGGAAAGTAAATATTTTCTGACAAATCTGTTGGGGTGTACCCATTAATGCAGAGCACTGTAAGTGTATCAGAGGGTGTTTTTTAATAGACTTCTAATAATTTTTTTTTATGCTATAACACCATGTGGCACTACATACATTACAGATGATCTGAGATTGCATTTGTGATTGGAGGATGAAACTGGAGTAGGAAGAAAACGATTCCTTTATAAAAATAAAGTGCTCTTTGACCTACTCAGAGATTCCCACCCCATGCAGAGCGAGTAGTTCAATGGTAGTCCTGTTGGAGAGAAAAGGTCCAATATACTGTTCTAAAAAGATTGTCCTCATTTGGGACCCGGAATTTGGAGACTCAAAGACTTTGGGTGGGAAAAAGCCAAACCCTGATTGCGGGGACTTGAATTCCAAAAAAGTTAACCCACCTGAAAGGAAAAGCAGCAGGAAGAAGGCCGTGCATACCGATGAGATGGAGTGGAGTAATCCACAGCTGTGAGATTGTGTGGGCAATCTGGTCCCGAAACAGGTGTAGGATCAAGATACTGGTGGTGAGCCATTTTGTAAGGTCTTAGTTATACAGGACTTTGAACTGCTTGCATTTACTTTACTTAAGAAAACGATTTGTGTTTGCTTGATTTTGAGACCAATAAAGACCATTTACTTTCAAAACGGTTGGATGGTGACAATTGGTGCTCAGATGAGGGCAACCCGGCCATACAAGCCATTTGCAGTAAAAGTTGTAAAGTGCTCAGAAGATACCTCCTGCCAGTACATGAAGGTCTGAAACACACCACAATACAGAGCCCAAATGTCCAAAGGCAGCATTACAGGTTAGCCCTGAACCCCAGTCCAGCAGGGTACAGGTATGGCACTCCGAAGTCAGGCTTAGGAGAGGCCGATTAGGATAGATCCTACGTAAACACCGCTAAAGCAGCAACATAACGAGAAATCGTGATTGAAGTTAAAGAAACAAAAAAGTCTAATTAAGACTGGTTAGACTTTTCACAGCACAGCTGAAGACATGCCCGTCCTACTAGGCCACCAGTAAAAAAAAAAAAAAAAAAAAAAAAAAAAAAAGTTTAGGCTGGAGAGAGGAGGGGGTTATTCAGGGGCCGGCTTACAATTTGTTTGGAAGTCTAATCCTCCTGTAGGTATCAGTATAACCTGACAGTGTCGGTTGTCCTGTGCCCCCTCAAAATGCATTATATCCTTAATCTAATACAGGTTAAAATAAAATATATCTACTCACCATCCAGTGTACAGAGTGCAAACAAACCAGCTTCTCTGTTCCCCACACCTGGTCCTAAACAGAAGACATTTCTGAATTAAAAGTCACAAATAATGACTTGGGTCAATAATTGGTGTTAAGTCACTGTGGCCAATAAAATTTACACCTGGCTGGTCCCTCTTCTCTTTGCCACTTACACAACATGTGTTTGACTGTTGTTCCACTCCATCTCTCTATAATTGATCACATAACATTTAGCCAAGCAGCCAGTAGCCGGAGACATTTTTTTTCAAATGCCAGAGGAATGTAGGAAACCTAGAAAAGTGACGAAGTACAATGCTGGACTAAGTGGCCAGGTGAGCCTTCAAATACAAAGTAATGGATCAATACTGGACACAGGGAAAGTGATCATCACAATCAACATATGTAAGCAAATCAATAAGTTCAGTTGAATAGTACAGTCACCACATCCCTGGACATGTTGAGAAAGATAATGAAAAGAAAAGTGGGACTCAAAACAGATTAGGCAGAGACATAAAGGTAAAAATATTCAATTGTTTTTATTACAAGATTTCATTTAAAATCAAGTGGGGAATAAATAATTCCCTAAAAGATCAAAGTGAACCATATTCCTCCAACAACAGCTCCCCAGAAAGGCACCTTCCCTCCTCAATATCTAAATACATATTCTATATACCGCAAACCACCTTATACATTGATTTGTATAGGGGGGGTGCCTATATTCTGACGCATTTTGCTTGTTCAGGGGTTCATAGAGTGCAGTTGAATATGGCTGATGTCACCAAGTAGCCCCAAGAAAGGGGGAAGTTTGACTCAAACCAGGAAAAATCCCTCATGATGTGGCTATGGGCATAGAGGGAACTGACGTGAAGCTGGTAACCAGAAATCAAAGCCAAAAGGTAATGCACAAGAGGGAGAGGTAGCGTCCTTCAAAAAAAATACACATATATATGCCTGCATTAGTGAAGGCTCCCAATGTCTCTGCCTAATCTGTTCTGAGAAAAGGTATCACCATTAAAAATCTCTCTCTCTCTCAGCACTGACCAATACAACCAGGGGCTGATCAAATCTCCTGAGACTAGCAGTCAGTGTTAGCAATACTTTCTCACAATGCAGGTATACAGCTATGAGGATGTAGGTACAGGAGTGTCTAGGCACCCTCGCATACCAGAATGTGCGCTGCTATTACCAGTAGGAATTCAAAAAGGATCATTTTTCTTCAGGTGTTCTACATGGACACAACTAACATTTCTAATTAAAGAGGATGTGAACCTCTTGAGCTACCAGTAAATGTGAATAAATGCAAGTGTCAAAACGAAAAATAAATGTGACCTGCTGCTTCTAACACCGGTTTGTGTTCCCACAAAAATAAAATAATTAGTATAAATGATGGTGTTGCACAGCTAGAAATGAAAAAAAAAAAAAGGACTATTATGTATTGCATGTTCATTCATTGTGTTTACAGGGTGATATATGAACATACCCATCAATCCGTCCACATGCTCAAGCTATCAATAACAAAATATTACAATGCTAAACCAGCAAGCAAATAAAAAATTTTAGATCAATTCATAGATTTTTATGTGACAGTCCTCCAGAAAACTTCAAGAAACTTTCCTATACATGGTTTAAATCTTTCGTGGTTTCTCACAACAATAGAAACAAAAGTGCCCCTGCAATACACCATGTGCCTCCTCAAGGCTCCCAGAACTCTCACACCTCCAATATACTGCAATTGAGCACATAATACACTACAATCTCTCAGCTCCTTAGGACTTCAGCCTCCTGTCCACTGGGGTCTCTCTAGATGTTCTGCACAGTATTTCCAGGCAATATGATACATGGTTCCTTTAAGATTCCTATGTGTTCATGCGGCTAGTATAATCGACTCTGGGATGAGCAGAAGAGTGCTGATCATGACGAGCTCTGCTCTGTTCTTCAGATTCTTTTTGAAGGCTCCTGTCCACTCTGTGAATGAGCGCTTATTCTGCCAGTAGGCATCCAGCGCCAGGATCTTTAGAAGCTGTGCCTTCTGTTATTTTATTTTTTCACTTCTAGCATCATTTATACTTAACATTTTTAAATGTTTAATATAAATAGCCTTATTGATATCAAGTCAACTTTAATATCACACTAAAGAATGACCACCATGTATTAAAACACCATAGCTAAGAAGGGATTGCCACACTAATAAAATCACAAGGTCCACAATAATACCGCTAGAGCTAGGCTGGGTCCATGTCTATTTTAGGTTGCCATCACAAAATTTAGACTTTGTATGAAAAAAAAAAAAAAAAAAAAACAAAAAAACCTTCTTTCATGATTTGGAGCTGGATCCTGGATGTAGGGCATATCTAAATCCACATATACATCCTGTATGTGTACAGTCGCAACATCATTAAAAGCATATGGCAATGTTATTCTCCTGCACAGTTACCTTTATTTGTCCAGGATTCAATTTGATAGGCTCTCCATGCACCCAGTGGCTTTATATATTGAATTGGCTTTATATATACAAACAACATTAGTGTTGTAGTGTAATGGTTAAGGCATCTGTTAAGGCAGTTTGATCCTGACTTCTCTGATCCTCCCCTTCTGCAAATGTCCCCCTCTTATCTCCTGATAAGACATTGTGTGAAGACACTCTGCACATGCTCAGTTTGGTGTGTATTGCTAGAGAGATTTTTTTTTTTTTTCTTGGGAGAGTGCATGTGATCTGCACAGGGTCAATCAGCACTGTCCAGACAGAGATCAGGGGTGCTGCATCCTCCTAGAGCAGAATGAAAACTCCTACAAGCTTCAACCAGTGCTCTGCTGGACACGGATATATGTCACAAGACTGCTCTAACTTCTCATAAGAAAAGATATTTAGCAGTTTATATTTACTAAAATAATTGCACTTCCGTGTTCTGTGTACTGTGGGAGATCAGATATAGTGAATGCAGGGTCCTGGGTTTAGGAACACTAAGTCCTCAGGAAGATTTCTTAGCATTGCAATTGTTCAGTGTCTAATTTAGGAAGCAAAACACATCTGCAAGTTTAAAAAATGCTCCTTGCTGCTATTTGTATACAGCAGTTTACAAATGTTACTCACAGCAGCTAAGAAAGATTGCTGCAAAAATCTTTGCATTTCTTTAGCATGATTAATTTTTAGTGACTGCTATTGATAAATGTCCCCTATTCTTCATCACTATCACTTTACCCAGAAGTTTTCTTCTTGGGCCTCAAAAATTAGCAATAGTCAAATTTAATTTTGAAAGACAACTGCATTATTAGTGACACCAGGCTGAGCATTGTTCTGTAAATGCAAAAAAAAAAACTACAAGCTTTACATACCCACCCTGCTTGATGCTACCAATGAGGTGTGTGGAAACATTTTTATTGTGAATCCGGCCAGATGTTTGATGGAGGATTACATCTCTAGAAGAAACTTCCCTAAAAACAGAGAAAAACTGCATGATTTGAAAAATATGAAGGGAGTTGGATTTCACAGCTGATAGATCAGATATGTACTGTATGCAGTTATATAAATGGCTCCAAGGCATAATAAAGTGTTATCAACTGAAAGAAGAAGTCCAGATTATTATTAACTAAGCTTAAATATGCTCCCACCCCCTTCTAAATCCTATACCAACTACCCTATATTATAGAAGGAAGATGCTTTTATTTACCTATTCTTAGCTCATGCAGCTCCAGTCAGTCACATGGTTGGCTCCCAGTGGTGGCTTCCAGAGAAGGGACAACGGCGGATGCCCCATAGTAAGCCTATAAGGGACATCACCACCCAGGCAGTGCAGCCATTGTTGCTGCTCTCTCTTTTCCCCTGAAGACAGCCGCTTGGGGAGATCACGTGACTGGACCAATCATACCCAAAAAGTCTCGAGGCTGTAATTGCTGCCAAAGGTACTTCAACAAATGACTGATTAAAGGGCCTGAATACTTAGGTACATGAGAGATTACAATTTTTTATTTTGATTAAATTCAGACATTTCTATAATTCTGTTTTCACTTTGTCATTATGGGGTGGGTACTGAGTGTAGATTAATGAGAAACAAAATACATTTACACAACTGTAGTATCAGACTGCAACATAACAAAACTGAAAAAAAGTGAAGGCAGTCTTAATACTTTATGAATGCACTGTATAACTAAAAAGTGGTGTTCTATTGCAAGTCATTAAATGCACAAATGACAATACTACTGTACATGTTTGAGCTTCTGCACTATTACTTAATACTGCTCTAACAGGTCAAATCTTAGTAGTTTATTTTCATATTTTTAAAGTAATTTAGAAAAGGCTACAATTATTCCGCTATGGCTTTTAAAAAAATCTCTCTCCTCACCTTGCTTCAGCTGCTCCTGGCCCCTCAGATGCCAGGCTAGTTTCATCACTCCAAGTACACCTCAAAACTGCATATCCACAACCTGGCTGGGACACCATTAGTTCCGGAGTACCGTCTGCTCCTGGGTTCACAGAAAGACTGTCCACCTACAAAGCAAGAAATATTTTGAAGTCTCAAAATATCCAGAACATCATCTCTAGTCCCAGAGAACAGACACAGCTTTATAAAGGATTACAAACTATAAAAAAGGAGAAAACAAAAAAAAAAAAACCATGTACTACAGCCAGACCCTTTCAAAACAGAGCAGCATACAACAGATGCTTTCTTAGAGCCACCTCCCTTAAAATCCTTTACAGATCATGACTTAAAAAACTTGCACAGGACAGTGCAGACACTCCCAAGTGACAGTGCTTTGGCCTGGTAACTGCCCACTTACAGTAGATATCAAGGATGCACCATGACTGGTTACACAAGTCCCATACTCGGATGTATCAGGTTATTACTGAGACTCTAGTGTTAGATATAGGATTTATTGAAGAGGGACACATATTTCAGAAGGAAAAAAAAAAATATATAAACAGTCTAACAGTTTGGCGTTCGCCCCCTACACTCCACCAAAACTGCCCTACTAAAGCTCTCTAATGACCTACTAACTGCAAAAACCAACGGCCACTATTCAATACTCCTACTACTCGACCTCTCCGCAGCTTTTGACACGGTTGACCATCCCCTCCTCCTCAAAAAACTACACTCTTTTGGCCTCACAGACTCCGCTCTCTCCTGGTTTTCCTATCTATCGCAGCACTCCTTCAGTGTTACTTATAACGCTGCCACCACCTCCTCACTCCCTCTCTCTGTAAGGGACCCCAAGGTTCTGTCCTTGGACCCCTTCTCTTCTCCATCTACACCTCCTCCCTTGGTCACTTGATAAGCTCCCACAGCTTCAATTACCATCTCTATGCTGATGACACGCAAATCTGTCTACCCCTCACCTCACCCCTTCAGTTTCCACCCGCATCGCTAGCCTACTAAGTGACAAATCGGTTACGATGTCACTCCACTTCCTCAAACTCAACCTTTCCAAAACTGAGCTCCTAGTATTCCCCCCAGCCCGTGCCACCCCCACTGACTTCACCAAAAACATTGCCAACACCATCCTCAGTCCATCCCCTCACACCTGGGTACTAGGTGTAATCCTACACTCCCATCTGTCCTTCCAGATCCAATCGCTGACAAAATCATGTAGACTTCACCTCAGCAACATCTCCAAAATACGACCATTCCTAACCCCAGAAACCACTAAGCAACTTATTCACTCCCTTGTTATATCACGCCTCGACTACTGTAACTCCCTCCTCATTGGCCTACCTCATCGCAGGCTATCCCCCCTCCAGTCTATCATGAATGCTGCTGCCAGACTCATCCACCTCACTAACCGTTCTGTATCCGCCATCCCTCTCTGCCAATTCCTCCACTGGCTCCCAGTTGCCCAACGGATAAAATTCAAAACTCTAACAATGACATATAAAGCCATCCACAACACTGCCCCAATTTACATAACCGATCTTATCTCTAAATGTCACCCAAACCGTACACTCCGCTCCTCGCAAGACCTCTTACTCTCTAGCTCCCTTATCTCCTCCTCCCATGCTCATCTCCAAGACTTCTCCAGGGCGTCACCCATCCTCTGGAACTCCCTACCCCAATCTATCAGACTATCACCTACTCTACTTACCTTTTGGCAATCACTGAAAACCTCTCTCTTCAGGAAAGCCTATCCCACCCTCTGCTAATTCTGGAATCCTCCACTCTTCCAACCACTCCATTCCCCACAGTGATTACCTACTGTACCATTCACCCCTCCCTCCTAGATTGTAAGCTCCAAGGAGCAGGGCCCTCAAATCCCTCTTGTATTGAACTGTATTGTCTCCCACTATAATGTAAAGCGCTGAGCAAACCGTTGCCGCTACATAAATACACACACATTATATATATATGATAGGAGAGAGAGAGATCCAGTTCAACCTGTGCGTGATTTTTATTCCCTAAAAATTACCATAGCCCTGTAAATTCTGAGGAAGGCATTCATAAGCTTTTTGAAGTCACTCAACTCAACTAGTACCACTTTAAAGTAAGAGTTCCACATTAACTACTCTAACAGTAAAGAACGCCTTCCACGACCTAACCTACATTCTTCTAGTCTCAAATCATGGCAAAGTGTCCTTTTCAGGGATACTAGAATAAACAATTCATTACAATTACCCGAGTCTCCTTTCATATATTTGTATATTGTAATCATATCCCCTTTTAAGCACCTCTTTTCAAAAGTGATTAATCTATGTAAATCGCTCCTTGTAGCTGGGGTCTCTGGTCATCCCCTGTACTGTGGCCGCAATCTCTGGTCATCTCTTGTACTATGTCTCCAGTCTCTGGTTATCTCCTGTACTACGTCTGCAGTCCATTGGTTCAGAATATTTTTTTTCCGGTTTCTGCCTCTAAAACCTAGGTGCGTCTTATGGTCATGGAGCGAAAATACGGTATATGAAAAATCTACCAATCCTTATGTACTGATGGTCTATTTAATTTCCTGAGGAGCTAATATGCCAGGGCAGTAAAAAAAAAAACCAAAATGACCCCTTTTTGGAAAGTAGACATCACAAAGGATTTAGTCAGAGGCATGGTGAATTTTTTTTGAAGTTGTATTTTACCCTGCAATTCCTTGAAAAAAAAAAAATAAATAAAATTAGTTTTTCCTTTTGCCACAAAATTGTTATTTTAACAACTTATTTCTCACACACAGCATAGGTATACTTGCAATTACACCCCAAAACACATTCTGCTGCGCCTCCCAAGTAAGAGGATACCACATGTGAGATTTTTTTCACAGCTTAGTCACAGAGGGCCCCAAAATCCAAGAAGCACATAAAATTACACATTTCGTTTCCTGGCTAACTATGGCACTTTTGAAGGTCCTGGACTATCAGGACAATTGAAACACCCACAAAATGTCCCCTTTTTGGAAGCCAAACACTACAAAGTATTTTAAAGGGGGAATGAGTCTTGTGAACACGCCTTTTTTGCCACAAGTTTTTGTAAAATGTGGAAAGAAATTTTTTTTTTTTTTTGTACACAAAGTTGTCAATTTATAAGATATTTCTAACACACAGCATGGACATACTAAGAAATACACCCCAAAATATACATTCTGCTACTCCACATGAGTATGGCAATACCACATGTGTGAGACTTTTTCCCAGCCTAGCCTCATAGAAAGGCCCAAAATCCAAGGAGCACCTTGAGGCATTATAGGGACATAAATTATCCAAATTCTTGACTACCTATCACATTTTTAGAGGCCCACTTGGGACACCAACAGATGTTGATGGGGCACTGGTACAAAGCGGCAGATGTGGATGGGACACTGGTACAGATATTGATGTGCACTTGGACAGGGACAGATGGTGCTTGGTGCACTGGTGTGGGATGGCTGCACTGTGTGTGATTTGTGTGTAGCTGTACAGTAAACAGCAGCTACACACAGATCGCTGACAGGCTGCAGCAATCCCACTCTCACTCTCCTCAGCTTAGAGGGACAGCCAATATAGGAGACACGTGCCTCTGTTTACATTGTTTGACTGGACATACCCATCACAAGATCAGGAGGGCCAATCAGGGAGCCCATGTTCCGATCTGTGATGCGCTGTGTCCAAGGGACACAGCCATAATGGGACTGAGCTGCTGTGTGGCCCCTAGGCTTTGAGTGAGCCAAGGTTCTGACACCCCCTATGCACAGCCATTTATTGGGAGTATCAGTGCACTGCTGATGGTTGGGTTGTTTTACAAGTGTTTACATATACTATAACCTAACAGCATATCTTTGGAGTAGCAGTTAAATAGCACTGTGAAAAGAAAGGCAAATTCCTCATAAATAATAACACTTTGCAAATATTGTACCTATCTTATCAATCTCTATCCAATTAGGCAGGCCCTTGTACTACACAGCTGCTGATAGATCTAGAGGAGATTATACAGCCAGAGTGTAATGAGTGTAATAGTTTAAAACTAACTGCAATACTCTGAAGTCAAGATTCAATACAGTACCAGAAATCACAGCCATTAACCTGTGTTTGGCAACCAAACTAACATTTACAAGTTTCTAAATAACTTACCTGTCCCTCAAGAAGCCATTTTTTCAAAGGTACAAGCTGACCATAGGATATGTCAGAATCTGGGGGACACTCCCATCGGAAAGCACGTACTACACGGTCAGTGTAACCCAAAACTAGCTCATAGCGGCCATCTCCATCTAAACAAGAAAACTGCACATAAGCTATAGAGAACTACTGAACACTCAAAACATAGTCATACAATATTACTGGCAGAACTGTAAGCAGAAATTTAGTAACCTGTATTAGCTTTGGTAAAGCAGCATTCACTGTGAAACAGTTATAAGCTGGCTTTAATGTATCCATCAAAGAGACAGCTCTGAAACTGAAAACGTCAGTTCAAAACATGTAAACTTTATAAAGAACCAAAATACTTACTATATTTGAGAGCATCTTACCTTCACTGCTGTTCCACTGGCCAGCTTTAAGGTAATGAATCAAAACAAACAACTGGCTAGTCCAGTTCCAAGGTCAATGGACTATGAACAAAAGGTAGTGGAGTGAGCTGGTGCAATACATCTATAATAAAACCAAAGTACTAAGTAGGTTGGTTGTGCTCCCTGTATGCACCTCAAGGGAAGATTTAGGCCTCTTGCATACCAGATGTTTTACCATTTCTCCTAGATGCCTTTCCTTCTGGCAGCATTTTGGCATAACAAATGCTTGTAGTTTAGATGCATCAAGCACTTGGGCATTAATTTATTTTATTAGACAGAATAACACGCCTAGCATGAACGTGCGTTTACATCAGGGGTGGGCAAACTTTTTGACTTGAGGGCCGCAATGGGTTCATATATTGGACCCGGGGGCCGGACCAAGAGTAGATGAATGATGTGTATGTGTCATCCATAGTAAGTATAGTAATATTCCCGCATAGTAATTAATCCCCCATATAGTAATTCATCCCCCATATAGTAATTCATCCCCCCTATAATTCATCCCCCATATAGTAATTCATCCCCCATATAGTAATTCATCCCCATCCCCCCTATAGTAATTCATTCCCCATATTAATTCATCCCCCATATAGTATTTCATCCCCCACAGTACTATTCCCCCCAAGTAGTAAGCCAAGTCCCCCCTGTGTCAATTCACTTACCTTTGCTCCGCGCGTTCCTCTCGCCGTGTTCCCGCGCCGTTCCGGTCTTCAGGGCGGGCTGTGAGAGGAGCCTAGCTCCCCTCACGTTTGTCACGCTGCCCCGCATACACACCCTGACAGCCAATGTATCACGCTCCGCGGGCCGGATTAAAAGGTCCGCCGGGCCGTAGTTTGCCCATTGCTGGTTTACATGCATCAAGCATTTTTTCTGCTAAAACGACGCTTCTCCTGGACAGGCCAAGTTTTTTTTTCTGCCACTAAATTTCCCTGCCTCTAAACTACTCTAAAAGTGTGTATGGACACATAGGCTAACACACAGGGGCATTTAGAGGCAGAAAAAAAAAGCCACACCAGACACCCCTAACAGCCACGTTGAAACCATCCAGTGTACATGAGGCCTTAGAACTGTATGCCCCTGCCTCAATCTCAAGAAAAAAAAAAAATACAAAGCTTATAAAAAACAGTCACATCTTCCAAATATAGCCATCAATAAACACAAAAGGTATGGAATTTCAGTAAATCAGCACTTACCTATATCACTTATCAAAACAAGCTTTGTATTGGCAGGCAGATGCTGAGTGTAGTTGGCTTTCATTTCCTCTCCCATAAAGTCCCATGTAGTATCCAATTTGGAGCTTAGGTCAAAAAGATGAAACCATCCCTCAGCACTGACTGCAACCACGAGATTCTTAAAGAAAAGTGATAAAGAACAGTAAAGGTCTAAATCAATCACTGTACCATGTGTTTTTTTTTTTGTTTTTTTTTTAAAGGTAATGCAAAGAGCAATGAATATACAAAGCGCTACCAACAGATTTCAGTTTATTCCAAAAATGTTTGCTTTTTGTCTTATTAAATATTGATTTAAAGAGTAACTGCACTTTTGTTGATGAAAAAAAAAAAAAAAAAAAACACTCAAGTACTCAGTGATCAATGTTCATTTTTGAACAGGGATTTTAACAAACTTTGTTGTAGATGTCTACCTATTTCTGCTCTGAAGAAAAAGCAGTTTGTTCTTCTGTGTCTTTTGGATACTGTTTCTTAACGGGGTGACTTTTATTACTGATCTGATGCATTTGCAGGGTTCTAATGAGGAAAGTTGCAAGGCCTGCATACCTTTAGAAGTGATTAACCCTTTAGGAGAATTCCACCAAAAAGGTACTTTTTGCTGCAGAGGATGCCTAAATCTGACACTATCAGTGCAGATGTCTGGGAAAATAAGGTCAGCCAATCACAAAAGCAAGAAATGACATTTCTGGGGAAGTTCTGTACACCAACTGTATACAGAACACCTCCAGGTTGCCATATTGCACTGAATTTTACAGAAAGCTACAGTGCTGCAGACTGAAAAGGAAAAGTCATTTTTAAGAACATTAAATCACAATATGGCTTGTGCTGCAATTGTATATACTATATTTTTTTTGTATTTGACATATTTATCCACAAAAGTGGAGTTACCCTTCAAAATCAGTGAATTAATGTATGGAAATCAGTAGATAATCATGATAGTCAAGTGATCAGCATTTTCAGAAGACAAAGCCAGCAACAGTAGCCTGCACAATTACTTAGTACAGGTTTCCTTAACCAACACTGTAGTGTGCCATCATTAGTGGATATTACCTTCGATACTGGAGCATAGATGGAAGAATTAAAATAAACTCTGAAGAAAATATCCTAACATATACTCTTTCACATGTATAAAGATAATGGAGAGTCTGTCAACTAGGGGAGAAGAGGGTAAACTGCTCTAGGTAAGATGAACAAGCACCTAGAGGTGTCTGCACCATAGCTGTAACATCCTCCTAAATGCTCTCAGGATGTTGAATCTTAAGCTGTTTTGCCAGGAATAGTGCCAACATGTCTTGATAATACAGAGGTCCTTTCTGCCCCCTGCCATTCCTACTGACCAGTAAGCCTGCTTATGATACTGCATGCGGGGAGGCTTAATAGCAAGTTTTGACACTACCCAAAACTGTCTGTTATTAGCCTGTCAGAACGGTTCAGCATTCTGCTGTGACCGGGGAGTTTGGGAGGATTCATACATTGACAAGAAGCATGTCGATAGGAGTGACAGAGACACGAGTGCACCACTGTGCTGCTTCTTTATTCACTGTCCAGTAATAGGAAGGGACAGGTCCAAGATGACATGGGCTCAGAGAAACTGGGTGGAATGATGCTTTCCATCAGATTAAGAACATCTAACAGCAGAAAAAGTACTGCAAGGGAAATCTCTAGATTTAAGCTTAACAACAGAGCTGATTTTGTTGATTTAAAAACTTTAACTGGCTATTAATTAAGGTTATTATTTTGGCTGGAGTTTATACTGTAAAAAAAATAAAACTCAGAAATTTAAAAAAGAAACAGAAAACATGCAGGATAAACATTTGAAATCTTTGCAGACAAACTGGGACATCTTTACTCTTACCTTTCCTTTGTTGCAAACATCTCCAACACCGACACAGGTCAGCTGGAAAATAAGTCACATGAAGTAAAATGTAAATGAGTGAGAAGTAGACAGAAGTGACCTCCAGGCAGCACTACGTGTATTCATGTTTCCTTAAAGCAGAACTAAAGGCAAAACTTTCTTCTTTCATTTTGGATAGAGCAGGAAAAAAGGGGTCTCTCAAAGAATTTAAAGTTATACCACATACCAAACAAATATGTCAAAAAGAACAAAAATTTATTGCAGGGCTTTTTAGGTGCAAATGAAATCAATCCGCACAGCCACCATTGTTCTAAAATCTTTGTTTTATTAAATTGACCACAGTAAAAATATCACAGGTGCACCCTCAACAAATCACACAATAGAGTAAGTTTAAGTGGTTCTATATAATTTATTATATTATATAATAATAATAATAATAATAATAATAATAATAAGTGGTTCTAAAGGAAGCAGGTTTTTTTTCACCTTAAAGTGTAGGTAAACGCCTTTTTTTTTCATATTTTACCTAAAAGGTAAAATTTAACCACTTGCCTCCTGAGGATTTACCCCCCTTCCTGACCAGGCCATGATTTGTGATACGGTGCTCCGTTACCTTAACTGACAGTTGCGCAACATACAACGCTTCACCCAAATAAAATGTACATCCTTTTTTTCCCCATAAATAGAGCTTTCTTTCAGTGGTATTTGATTGCCTGTGCATTTTTTATTTTTTTGCTCTATAAACAAAAAAAAGACCAACAATTTTGAGAAAAAAAAAACCACAATATTTTTGACTATTTGCTATTAAACACGTCCAATAAAAAAAAAAAAAAAAAAAAAAATTTACAAATCAAATAGCATCATAAATTTAGGGCAAAATGTATTTTGCTACATGTCTTTGCTAAAAAAAATCCCAATATGTGTAAATTAATTGATTTATGTGAAAGATATAGCATTTAAAAAATGTTGCTATACATATTGGAATTTTTTATTTTTTACTAGTAATGGTACCGATCAGCAACTTATAGACTTCAGCGGGCATTCTGACACTGGGGGGAACTGACTTGGTATCACTGACATCCCCAGTGATACCAATACAGTGATCAATGCTAATAAAAAGCACTGACACTGTACTAATGGCACTGGGCAGGAAGTGATTAACTTGTGGGGTGATCAAAGGGTTAACTGTGTGCTGTTTCACAGTATGCTGTAAGTGTGCTTTCAACTGTAAACACACTGCTTTGTATGGCTCTAGTATGCAGAGCCATACAGAGCAGTTTGCAGGAGCTGACAGCAGAGAGAACTGTATTGTTTACATACAGTTCTCTCCCCCGTCGGTAATGCTCGACCATCACTGGGTGTTGGCGAGTAATCACCGGCAGGGACCCAGTGATTGACAGCCGAGGCATTGTATGGCAGCTTGCGCGCACACCCTAGCTCCTGCTGTTGTCAATCACAGCCAGTGAGGACGGAGCTAACAGCCAGTGAGGAGAGAGCGAGGGATAGGGCAAAGCCACACTGCGTGTGTCAATAGACACACAGAGCATGATTCAGGAACAAAACCGCATGAGTGCCCCCCATAGCAAATAGGCTAAATACGCCAAATACCAATTTACATACGAAGCATACAAAATTAAATCTCAAGTCCAAGTATCCAGGACTAACAGAAAGCTTTTATTAGTCAGAAGGTATTCGGTATGGCCAGCATGTTTTGCGTATTGCTTCTTGAGGAATCAGATGAAAACAATAATTGTAAGGACCCTTTCACATGTGCGATCTGATCGGGTCCACTTGTCAGTTTTTCAGGAGGACCTGATTGGATGGTCCATGTATTCCTATGGACTGCTTATCTCTGATCCTATATAAAAAAAAAAAAAAAAAAAAAAAAAAAAAAAAAAAAAAAAACACAGGTCAAGTCCGTTTACACCCAACCGGCCATAGAGCGGAGTAGACTCTGTCTGTGTCCACTCTGCATAAACTGAACAGACATGGACCTGTTAATCAGATTCTTGCCCTGTGTGAAAGGGGCTGTGATGCTTATCAAAGATTTCAGGACTCTATATACTGGTAGGTATAGTACGCAATGTGAGCAAATGAGGGGGGGGGGGGAAGGGTTAACTCCCATAACATCACAGCAGAAGATGATATCCACTTCCCACCCAGGTACAAGCAGAAATGATTTTGTCTTCCCTACCGGCCAGGAGCGTTACCTGTGTGAGACGTGAATATATTCTTAAAGTGGTTGTAAATATCAAACATGCAATATGAACAAATCATATCCCTCGATAGTGTATGCTTGTCTCATTCCAGAGTACTAAGTGTCATTTGTGTCTGCTGCCCTGTTCCTCTGCTATAAGCATGATTCACTTCTGACTGATTTTCCTGACACCAAGAGAAAAATGGTGACAGGAGTGGGCACAGGCTATGATTGACAGTCATCTCTGCTCCTGCTTGGAGGGGGGTATGTCCCTTCCTCTAATCAACTCTCCTCACGGATATAAAATTCAGCCCCCTGCCTTTTAGAGCTGAGAGATCCTGTGTACATTCTGCATTTTGAATGGATGTAGGGGGATTGCTTTCATCTCTGTGTATCACCTGAGGCCAGTCAGTTCACTAGGTATATGTGAGGGTTTACAACCACTTTAACCACCTTCCGCCCGCCCGCCCTATAGTACGACGGGCGCAAGGTGGTTCTCTCGTTCTGATAGGACATCATATGACGTCCTACCATTCTCACTCACTCAGGGAGCGCGCAGGATCATGGAAAGAGCCAAAGATGTTGGCTCGGTCATGTGATCAGCTGTGTCCAATCACAGCTGATCACATGTAAACACGGAAATGCCGGTTATCGGCATTTCTCTCCTCTCGAGCTGTCACGCTGACAGCTCGAGAGGAGAGGAGAGCCGGTAATCGGCTTTCCGCGGAGGGGACATGTACACTGATCATCAGGGCACTGATGATCAGTGTGCCCTGATGATCAGTGTGGCCCCAGAAGTGCCACCTGTCAGTGCTCATCTGATCTGTGCCAAGTGCCAGTGCCCATCAGTGCCACATCAATGCCACATATCAGTGCATACCAGTGCACATCAATGCCACATATCAGTGCATACCAGTGCACATCAATGCCACATATCAGTGCCCATCTGAGCTGCCTTTCAATGTCACCCATCAGTGCCAGTCAGTGCCACCTATCAATGCCAATCAGTGCCACCTATCAGTGCTGCCAGTCAGTGCCCATCAGTGATGCCTGTCAATGCCTATCAGTGCAACCTACCAGTGCCTCCTCATCAGTGCCACCTATCAGTGTCCATCAGTGCAGCCTATCAGTGTACATCAGTGCAGCCTCATTAGCGCACATCAATGAAGGAGAAAAATCACTTATTTACAAAATTGTATAACAAAAACTAAAGAAAAAACATTTTTTTTTCAAAATTTTCAGTGGTTTTTGGTTTAAGAAAAAAAAAAATCCCAGAGGTGATTAAATATCACCAAAAGAAAGCTCTGTCTCAAAAAAATGATAAAAATTTCATATGGGTACAGTGTTGCATGACCGCGCAATTGTCATTCAAAGTGTGATAGCGCTGAAAGCTGGAAATTGGCCTGGGCAGGAAGAGGGTATAAGTGCCCTGTAGGCTAGTGGTTAAAGTGGAACTAAATATTTTTCGTCCAAGGAAACTGCCATCTTAGGCTCTGTTTGATCTGTTATGCAGGCCACAGACGGTTCGTTTATCGGCCGACTTTTTGTCCGAAAGAATAATCGGCTGATATTCGCACTGTTAGTGGGGCAACGTCATCGACCGATTTTCGTGGTTCCTCCTCGTTTCTTTCATCGGTCATGCTGGAAAATTTATGAAAAACGGACGATTTTCGTAAGCATTGGTGGCAGCAGAACAACCATTTTTGAACCGTCTATGGCCTGCATAACTGCCATGGTGCTGCACATGTGATCAGTTATGACACCAGCCATTTGATGGTTTGACAGTTTGGCAGAAGACACAAGCAAATGTGACAGTTGCATTTCCAGCATGCATGTACTTGAAACCATTAAATTTGTTCCACTTTAATGCAGGCCATAGACGGGTCGAAAACCGGCCGTTTTTTTTAAAACAAAAAAAAAATTAAAAAAATGTAAAAAAATCGGTCGTTCAATAGGCCGACGTTACCACCAATGGTTAAAAAAAAAAAAAAACGGCCGATTTTCGTCCAGTCTATGGCCGGCATTTAATTACTTCTGTCCCTTGCAGAGAGCTCCGCTATTATATTTGACATGAAAAAGTATTGCAGTTGCAACAATGTGTCGATTTGTATCCATTTTGGATACAGATGTTTTTATTCGGATACAAATAGATACATTGTTGCAACCGCAATACTTTTTCTTCTCAAATATAATAGCGGACCGGAATTCTTATTCTTTTTCTTCTTCTTGCAGGTCACGGCTCATGCTCAGATTTTTTATCGGTAAACGATCGGCCGATTTGCCCATCATTGCCAGGAAAATTGGCCGATTCTTTTCCAACTTTACCGATATAAAAAAAAAATGTGCCAAACCCCAAAAAAACGGCCGACCAATTAACCCATTGACGGTGCGAAAATCGGCCGATTTTTTTTTTTCGGGAAAAAAAAAAAAAAAATTTTCAATCTATGGCCTGCATAAGTCTGGAATATAGAACGATGTATTGTCAAAAATGAGATGTAACATTTTGAACACTACATATTTCAAATGGCAATATCTTCATTACAATTTTAGATCATTTCCAGGGAGGGACAAACCTGTTAACTCCACAATTATTCCTAGCAATCAGGGTCACTTGTCAGGAATGGAAGTCCTAGAAGCACAGTGGCTAAGCACTCCAGCCTGGCAATACTAGAGTTGTTGGTTCAAAACCCAACCACGGCACCACCTGCCTGGAGTTTGCATGTTCTCCCTGTGCCTGCGTGGGTTTCCTCCGGGTATTCCGGTTTCCTCCCACACTCCAAAGACATGCTGGTAGGTTAATTGGCTCCTGTCTAAATTGGCCCTAATATGTGTATGTATGAATGTGAGTTAGGGACCTTAGATAGTGCGCCCCTTGAGGGTTAGGGACTGACGTGGATGTTAAATATATATATATATATATATATATAAATATATATACACAGGGGCGGACTGACCATTTGGAAACTCGGGCACTGCCCGAGGGCCCGGGGTCAGTAGGGGGCCCCATGAGATGCCCCTGGTACCTTTTTCATAGGATTTTTGAGTTTGGGCAAGGACACAGGGGCCCCATGATCCCCTATTGCCTGGGGGCCCCATGAGTTGTCAGTCCATCCCTGTATATATATATATATGTGTGTGTGTGTGTGTGTTAAAGTGCTGCATAAATTGACAGCACTGTATACGTGACATAAATCAAATATTAGACAGAAGGTGTCCATGTAGCAGTATGAGGGCCGCTCACCATGCCAGTACAGCAGCGGGTCAGCCAGGGCTTGCTCTCATCGTTCTTGTACACATGCAGCTTCCCGCTGGTGTCTCCTAGGATCAGTTCATTCAGCTGGAAGGAGAGAGGTATAGGGGGCGTGGTGAATACATCAGTCACATGACCAGGCACCCTCGTGTACCGCCCCCTTCCCCGGTTACCGAATCATTATCTGCGTCCCCGAGGCACAGCGCATGCGGGAAGAGCGAGCCACTGAACTCCAACACGGCCCGCTGGACGTAGCTGAGGGAGCGCATGGCTGTACTTCTCTATGTCACCGGCCACTCATCACTGCCACTATAGGAACACCGACTGGTCCACCACTGGCAATATAGCTGACACTTCCCAACCACTGGAAGAACCCGGAAGTGATGTTAGTGAGTGAAGCAGGAAGTGGGTGGAGCGTACGCAGTGTGAACTGAGAGCCCGGGAGAATGTTGAAGGAGGGCTTCTGACAGAACTTTCACATTGCTGGTTTATTGGCCACAACATTGCCTAGTTCTTACCAAAATGTCAAAGGCAACCAATAAGACCAATAATACTGTATACCTTTTCTACGTGGGGCGTATAAAATATGGGCCTCCCTAGATCTTCAGGTAATAGTGAGGAGTCCTGATGTGTTTGGACTAGGAGCCCATGTGTGCAAGGCCCCTTTCATGGGGGGCAGACTCCGTCAAGCGGATCTGCCTGCTCAACGGGGAATCTATCCGCTGAGTAGGTGAATGACCGGTTTGTGTCCACTATTCCTTATGGGTTGGTCGGATGTAAACAGACTGCCTGTATGTTTACATCTGATTGTCATCCAATTCACTAGACCAGTGGTGGTTAACCTATGGCATGTGTGCCGCAGTGTTCACTCAGAGCCCTCTCTGTTGGCATGTGAGCCAAGTCGCCCCAGCAGCTGAGCAGCAGATAACAGTGCACATATGTGCATACTCGTCAAGGAGTAGCGGCACCAGGAGATAACGTCACAAGCCACGACTTGTCCGAGCATTCGCATGGCTGGTCAGTGCGCTGCCAGGGATATATATATATTGGACTGGCTGAGAGTTTTAATACATTTGCTTTTAACACAAGATTTTAGCTTGTGCTGGTGGTCAGTGGAACTTTGCCCAATTGCATTGGTGGTCGGTGGACCTTTGCCCCTTGCGTTGGTGGTCGGTGGACTTTTGCCCCTTGTGTTGGTGGTCGGTGGACCTTTACCTGTTTCGCTGGTGGTGGTCGGTGGACCTTTACCCCTTGCGCTGGTGGTCGGTGGACCTTCGCCCCCTTGTCTGGTGGTCAGTGGACCTTCGCCCCCTTGCGCTGGTGGTCGGTGGACCTTCGCCCCCTTGCGCTGGTGGTCGGTGGACCTTCGCCCCCTTGCGCTGGTGGTCGCTGGATCCTTCGCCCCCTTGCGCTGGTGGTCGCTGGATCCTTCGCCCCCTTGCGCTGGTGGTCGCTGGATCCTTCGCCCCCTTGCGCTGGTGGTCGCTGGATCCTTCGCCCCCTTGCGCTGGTGGTCGCTGGATCCTTCGCCCCCTTGCGCTGGTGGTCGCTGGATCCTTCGCCCCCTTGCGCTGGTGGTCGCTGGGTCCTTCGCCCCCTTGCGCTGGTGGTCGCTGGATCCTTCGCCCCCTTGCGCTGGTGGTCGCTGGATCTTTCGCCCCCTTGCGCTGGTGGTCGCTGGATCCTTCGCCCCCTTGCGCTGGTGGTCGCTGGATCCTTCGCCCCCTTGCGCTGGTGGTCGCTGGATCCTTCGCCCCCTTGCGCTGGTGGTCGCTGGATCCTTCGCCCCCTTGCGCTGGTGGTCGCTGGATCCTTCGCCCCCTTGCGCTGGTGGTCGCTGGATCCTTCGCCCCCTTGCGCTGGTGGTCGCTGGATCCTTCGCCCCCTTGCGCTGGTGGTCGCTGGATCCTTCGCCCCCTTGCGCTGGTGGTCGCTGGATCCTTCGCCCCCTTGCGCTGGTGGTCGCTGGATCTTTCGCCCCCTTGCGCTGGTGGTCGCTGGATCCTTCGCCCCCTTGCGCTGGTGGTCGCTGGATCTTTCCCCCCCCTTGTGCTGGTGGTCGGTGGAACTTTGCCCCCTTGCGCTGGTGGCCGGTGGAAATTTAAATGTATTCCCATCCGTCTGATTTTATCGGATTGGATGCAGGTGGGTGTAAACCAACACATATTCCATTTACATTTGCTTCCCTGTAGAGCACAATGAGTGGTCCGATCGGGTCCACCTGAAAAACGGGCAGGCGGACCTAATCGGTCCACTCGTGTGAAAAGGGCTTAAACCCTGAAAGTTGTCACCTAAACAGGCCAATTATCTGTACCTTGGGCTTTCCCCACAGCCTCATCTATGCAAGGGGTGGGTATATGTGTGAGTGGAGAATGCACCAGCTGTAGATGATTGAAGACAGCTTCCTGGAGGGCTGGCATAGGTGGGTTCAGCATGCTTAGCACTGATTTGTAGGATCAGAACCTTCTTTAAGTGAAAGAGTGGATTTCTTAATAAATTTGACAATGCCTCTGAGCACAGGGGATTCCACTCCTGGGGCATTAACCAGTGACTTAAAGTGATTCTAAAGGTTGGATTAAAAAAAAATAAATAACATACATGTCATACTTACCTACTCTGTGCAATGGTTTTGCACAGGGCAGCTCTGATCCTCTCCTTTTTTTGGCCCCCCACCAGTTCTCCTGGTTCCTCCAACCAGCTGAATGCCCCAAATAGCAAGCCTCTTCCTATTGGGGCACTCAAGCAGGTTCACTCCCAAGTCACACTCCTGTGAATGGACATTGTCCATTCACACACAGATCATGGCTCGGCTCGACCCTCTCCTGATTGGCTCACTGGCTGTTATTAACAGCCACAGGAGCCAATGGCTTCTGCTGCTGTGTAAGCCAGTGAGGTGAGAAAGAGCTGGTAGAGTCATGACTGTCGTGCACATTGCTGAAGCAAGATGGGGCTCAGGTAAGTAATAGGGGGACTGAGGGGGTGCTGCAGCCAGAAGGATTTTTACCTTCATGCATGAAGATCCAATTTTAAACGGAACTATACCTTCATGTCCTTTTCAGCCAAGGAAGCTACCATCTTAGCCTCTGTTTGATCTGTAACTGCCATGGTGCTGCACATGTGATCAGTTATGACACCAGCCCAGGGGCGGATGACCATTTGAGTACTCGGGCACTGCCCGAGGACCGGGGGTCAGTAGAGGGCCCCATGAAATGCCCCTGGCAGCTTTTATAGGCTTTTTTGGGTGTGATTTGAATGTGGGCAAGGACACGGACCCCATGATCCCCTATTACCCGGGGGCCCCATGAGTTGTCAGTCCGCCCCTGCACCAGCCATTTGATGGTGTGACAGTTTATGAACAAAAGCAAATGGGCAGTTAGCAATGCTGGGAATGCTGTTTTTTTTTAAACCGTTAAACTGATAGGTTTAGTTCCACTTTAAAGTGAAAGCAGAACTTTACTCATAACAACTTGATAAAAAAAATAATTTCTTTACCAAGGAACATATATACCACATTAATAATTATGCAACCAATATTAGTGTGTGCTATAAATTACCCCCAGCATTGTTCCTCTTTCTTCTTGCTGGATGCTGCCATTTTGTTGAAGCCCAGAACCCTGAGCAGCAGTTAAACTGAAATAAACCCTCCTATCTTTTCAGCCAAGTAAACTTCCATCTGTTTGATCTGCAACTGCCATGATGCTGCACATATGAACACCAGTCTGTTGATGGTTTGACAGTTTGGTTAAGAACACAAACAAATGTGGCAGTTGGTATTCCTGGAATGCCAGGAATGTAGGGGCCAATTTACACCAGTCCACTGATCTGCATTTTAGAGCAGTTGCAAAAAGATCAACGGAAGGACATCTGAAAAACAATAATTTCCAATGTGTCCTATTTACACCATAACACTGTTATCGCAATGCAACGAATATAAGAGGATGTCAACACAACACACAGGATATCCATTGAAAATGCAGTACGCTTTAACGCGTGCTAAAATGCATGTCAATGGACATCAAAAATTTATGGCAATGAAGGTCAGCATGTGACTAAAATGGATGGAAATGTACATCCATTTGCTATACATTTTAGCGCAAGTCAGTGTGAATTGGCCCTAACTGTTTTTTTGCAACTGTCAAATTGGTAGGTTTACTTCCGCTTTAATCTTTAGACTGTTAGCAGACAAATTCAGCACAGTGCCTAAAAATGTCTAAAATGAAGAGCAACTGAGCAAGTGCAGAGCAGGGTGAGACAGTGTTTTACTGGTTTTAAACTGTATAGGCACTTATTTTTAATTTTTTCCATAGCTATTTCTGCAAAAGGGGTCAGCCTGAAGTGATCTAGCAAGATTTAATTTTCTGACTAAAGTTCCACGTGAAGTTTAACTGTATCTGAGCACCACAAACTGAAAACACTGTTTAATTAATTTTCATTATTCAAAGCAAACTTATCCATCCATGTCTGCATGCTTTATTTTTCTCACTAAACAGGTGCGCTGTCACTTTAGGTCCCTTTCCACCAATGGATCCACCTTCTCATTGAAGGATCTGTCTGCTGATCCCCACTGAGCAGACGGATGACAGGTCTGTGTCTGCACCGCTTATGCAGAGCAGACACAGGCCACTGTCCTATTTTGATGGTCGGATGTGTAAATGGACTGCCTGTTCTTTTCCATCTATCATCCAATCCGCTAGACGAATGTGGAATAGATCCTCATCGGTCTGTTTTTAGCAGATCAGATGCAGGCAGGTGCAAACAGACACATGTCCGTTTATATGTGCTGCTCCATAGAGAGCAATGGATTGTCAAATTGAGTCTGCCTGAAAAACGGGCCCAAAGGTTTGCGTGTGAAAGGGGCCTTAAGGTGCCACTTATACAAATGTAGATACAGCAACAATGTATTAATATTTAGTGGTGCACCAAAATGATAATTCCTTTGCCAAAACAGAAAATTCAGGATGCATTTGACCAAAAACCAAAATGGACAGGGGTGGAGGTGAGTTCTCTGGACCTTAGTCTGGGTGTCAGGATGGGGATTACAGGTCTTGGGACACCGTGTGGATGGAGCCCGAGGATAGCACAGC